TTTATAACAATGTTAAAGGAGAATTTATATAAATATATTTGGCTCTTTTCCTAATTTATTATGAACAATTATCTGAATCTTTTGAAGTAAAATGAAAAATACTTGTGTCTGGTTTTGAACGTATTTACATTTGCGAATGAAGTTTTCAACTCAATAATGTGTTCTTTCTTAAAAGGAAACTCATTTAAAAATTAGAAATGATTTAACAAGGGTTATCGCTGGGCTAAATTCGCGGAACAATAAAATCATCACGTGGTGATAATTTCTTTTTCAATGTTCTGAGAAAAGGTGATTGAAATACCCATCGCACAGCTATAGTTTGTTTGAATGAATTTCACGCTGGGCGCCAGTGGAGCGATTAGCCTCTCTCATTTGGGCCTCCCCGTCGGAAATATTACAAAAATCGTTTAAAACTCTGCGGCTGGAAAAGGGCGCAAGATTAATGGATCGAAAAAAGGAGGATGAAGGAGGAGTTTCATGCTTAATTTGAACAAATATAAAAAATATCCGCAGTCCCTCTGGGCGCATTCAACATCTGTTTCAAACAAATTTTGGAGCTCCAGTTTGAAATTTCCACGCATGCATGAATAACTAGCGGGCTATTGATTTAATCAGGTGAGACTAGGTGGCTAATTAAGGCCGGGATGATGAGTCGGGCATTTTTTCATTTACGACCAGTCAACCTTTTTGACGTTTTCCAAGACCAGAGGGCAAAAAGAGCGGCAGCCAGCAGGCGCCAATCTCTCTCTCTTTTTGTGCTTCATAATGCACGATGACACTTGAAGTTATTTTTATAATTTGCCTCACCTGCCCCTCTCCGCGTCTGCAGGATAATCGTGCGGCCTGATTTCGTTATAAAAATTTTATTATCTCTGCTTCTGCGAATCGATAAAAATAAAAATATAAGAAAAAGTGGCGCGGCGGAAAAAGTGCCAAGGAAATTTGATTGTGTTCCAGGGAGTGCAGAATTTCCTCGTCTGAGTTGTTTCCTCAGTGGGCGGAATAAATTAAAATTCGTTGCAGTTTTTCTCCCCCGGCGTTTGCGAGTGGCTTCTGTTTTTTTACCAACACAAAAACTGCTTTTAACTATTAGAAAAAGGTACACAGAATGCATTCAAAAGGGAAAGTACAAAATGTATAATATGAATATCTTTATAAGTTTACAAGAGGATTAATTTTTTTGCATTAATTTATTCAATGATACGTTGCGGCCAGAGAATGCTTTAGAAATGGGGAAAAATAGACTTTTGTAACATTTTATTAATTCTTAATTCCTCTATATACACTTTTCTAAAGTAAATTAAAATTGAGCTTTTAGGATCACTTAAAATAACTTATATAATTATGCATATTTGATGAAAAAATGTCCTATCTTAAACGTACATCAATACAATTTTAGATTTTCGCCCTTTCTTTCAATTAAAACTTTTTACTAAAAATCAAATTTTTTTCCCAAATTAACATAGAGGATTTTTTTAAATCAGCCTGGTAAAAAAAGGTTTTTAAAAAAAATTATTGCCACTTATTTCAGGTGAAAACGTATATTTGTACTGAAGCAAGTGTAATATTTGCATCAAGTCTCCTCGTGCTTAATAAAAAGTCGGCGCGCCAATCTCAAGGTTCGCCACAATGATGAATTCGAGAGATCTGATCCAATGAGCATCAGGGCTGTGGCCTTGATCCCTGACCTATCGAGCTCGGCATGACGGAACTTTGGCAAAGTGGGCAGATTATATCATTCACGCTTCATTTTTCAATGCTTTTGAGCCAAAAGTTCGTTTAATAAACAAAAAAATCATAAATAATTAAACATCTTTATCAAAAACTCTATAAAAAGTAATTTTCATAAATTTTTAAATATGTCCGACGAGAGCTTAAATTGTTTGTATTGAAATTCAAAATTAAAGAAATTAAGGAGAATAAAATCACATTTTTTAGTATTCCAGCCAGAACTATTAAACGTTTCTGAATTTCTCGGAGATTTTGATGAATGAGTCTGGTCGCGTTTGCTGGGTGCGTTTGAGACGCTGGTTAAATCCTCAGAGGAAACTCCTCGGGAGCAAAGAAGGATATTCATTGAGAGAGAAACCGAACACCACGCGCGCTCTCTCTGCGCACAAAAATATAACACGGCAAAAGGAGAAAAGCGCGTTGTGTAAAGTGTAATGTTACAGGATGTGATAACTACTATCGCGCGCGGGGACCCTTTCAATTTTATTTATAACAATTTGCCGACAGGGGATGAAGAGCTTTTAAGTCCGCTTTTGTGCAGAAAAAATAATAAAGCCCAATAATTGAATAGCGTGTGTGATAATAATACAGAGAGAGGAGTAAATAAATGTATGTTTAAGCGACCAGTTTTGTTCCATTCATGCGCCGAGGGAGGAAGTCAAGGAACAAAAGTGTACAAATCGCCATTCAAAATGTATCTAGAGCGTTCTCGTTTGTCTGTATTTTTTTATTGCATTATGTTCGAGAGTGCATTGTGTGCTCCTTTCCGATCTTTCAATAATGGGAGACGCGCGGGGACGAAAGTTGCAGCGCAGGGGTGGGTCAAATGTAAATTAACGACATGTGTGCTGCATTTTCTCGATTGCTGCTGGTTATAAACGTTTGCTGCGGGGGTTAATTGCTGGTTTTCTTTTAGAAACACGCGCGTGTGCACGAATAACACAGAGAAGGGAGAAAAATATTATTTTGTTCTTTATCCATTGTCACATTTCATATCTCTGTGAAATTAAAATATAAATTATTCAGGTTAGAAAAATATATAATAATTTAATTAAGATAAATTTAAAAATGGATTAAACAGGAAAATTGAATCAAAACATACGGACAGCAGATTTTTTTTCATTTAAAATCTGAATTTATGTGAATTTTATTCAATTTAAACCCAGCTTAAATAAGAATTTGAAAGAAATTAGAATTAAAAGAAAATTGATACTTTAAATCACTTCATACTCTTTGGTTGTACAATTATTCCAAAATTTACTATATATTTATTGTTAAAATTTAAAATGCAAATCAGAGAAAGAAGTGAAATAAATATTTTTAAAGTTGATTGCACAAATATAATTTATAAACGAATTAAATAGCAACGTATCTGTTCGTGAGAGTAAATTAAATTGGTTTGAAGAAAAAAATACAGCGGAAAACAAACTTTACTAATACTTTAAAGGAGATTTTGATATACATCTATAATTTTTATAAAAACTCAAATTTTAATCAATCTCTTACTTAGCTCAACAGAGTAATTGCCTTTTAATTCCCCATTTTTATTATTAACTCGCCCCACAACATTTTTCCTCATTTTCAAACTCGAGCCGGCGCGAAATTAAAACACAAACGAGAGCAGATTAAAATCAATCCACACGAAAGCCCATTAATTTCAAACCAAGAGCGCAGCAGACTGAAAAAAGAAAGATATGCAGACAGGCAAGGTATGCAATAAATAATGTTGCAAATGCACTCTCGCGGTTTTTTTTCGTACATAAATAAATGTGTGTGTTTCTCTCTGCAAGAAGTGCGATGGGCGTGATAGATATGGGCGTGGCTCTCTCCACTTGTTTTATTTTCTGACATGAATAGCTGCTTTTGCCTGACTGACTGCGCGCGTGTCCCTAATATTCATATAAGCTGTTTATTAGACCCGACCGCGACGCTCGTCGCCACACGCACGCACTATTGACGGCCGGGCCACTTCACTTTGTCCGCCGCACTCGCGCTGATAATTAATAAATTACTTTTCAATTAACCGTTTTCCCACAGGCGAATTTGTGCGGTTTGTTTTGTTGCGTCAAATTAATAACTCCTTTCATTTTATCGCCGCTTTCCGTGTAATTTATTTATCGGCCAAAACGTCTCAATTGCGGTGCCTTATGAAACAACTTTCAGCTCATTAAAATTTAAAATCAATCATGTTTAATGCAACACAATCATAATCGCCGGCCGATTCGTATTGAAATCATGTTGAAAGGTATGGAAATTTAATGGCGCGCAATCATGACGCCTTTCGTAATGAGAAAATTTGCATCTTCATAGCCTTTTCATCAATAATGCACTAACGAGAATACACACATGCATAATGGCATCAAATAACTGGAATTTTTGCATGTAATTGCGCTTGTACGACCACACAGCAATTTACTAGAGCATAGTTATTTTATAATAAATTAAAGTGTCGATTCCAATAGAATATATAGTTGGCTAAAACTTTTCAGTTTTTTAAATTACATATAAAAATCACTTTATTAATAACATATATTATTGTACCAGAGGCGTTAAACGCTCATGTGTAATTAGGGCATTTAATATTATTAATTGGTACGGCTGGACTAGAATTAAAATTAGATTGGAGAACTGCAAATAGAATTAAAAGTTGTAGAATAATAAGAACGGTAAAAAACTATACAAATATTACGGTTGTCAGCTTTTTTTGGGCCACTATGGTCTTTTTTAAGCTAAGCCTCCCTTTCAGTCTGTAAATAAATTGCAAAAAAAACTCCTGAAATTGGTTAAAATAGGCAATTTCTTGACGGATGGGATACGCGGGTAGTCTAAATCAAAATAATTTAGAGCTTTTTAAGGTGTGTAAAAACAATATCAAGTGAACGCGTCAGATTAGCTCCGATACCAATCAATTAATCAAAATCATTGATCAGACACAGGCGGCTTTTCTGTGTTGTTTTACACTCAATGTTTTGTTTATCCATCTGATATTTAAAAAAAGAAACTTTTAGAATTTGTAATAAAAACAAATTGACATCATTGACACTGTATTATATTTTTTTAATCCTAAACCTTTATAAGCTATTTTTAACAGAAGTCATCAAGAGATTTTTATAAAAGTAATGAAATTTTTTTTTCACCAGGCAAAAATATGCCACTTTTATTTGAAAGCAACCAGGAAATGAAGATAACTCTGTGAATCATACAAAATTGTCTAAAATATCCAAAAGTTTTCCTTTCCATTTAATAATTTATCTTGATTTGTGTTGTAGGAGCAGCGGACGTCGCCGTTGGCAATGCTGGCCGCACAGTGCAACAAGCTGTCGAGCAAGTCGCCGCCGCCCCTGGCCGACGCGGCCGTCGGCAAAGGTTTCCACCCGTGGAAGAAGAACAACAACGAGCAGGGCGCGTCACCGAAGCCGGCGGCGCTGAGTGAGGCGGCGAGCGTGGTCAAGTCGGCGCCGGCGGGGCCGCCGCCAGCGTGTTCGCTGAACTCGGCGCCGTTCCCAGCCTCGGTCGCCGGCCTGACGACGTGCAGCGCCGCCACCGAGTTCGGCAGTTACTTGAATTCGGCACCGGTGCTGCAGCAACAACCGCCGACGCAGAACTACCACCACGCTCTGTTGGCGTCCAAGGAATTGTACTCGCGGCCCAATTACGAGCACACGTGGAACTTCCAGAATGCGACTGTGGCGGCGCCACAAGGCCAGGGCCCGAACATGGCCAAGCAGGCGAATGAAGCCGTTTGGTGGGACGTGCACAACGCGTCGTGGCTCGAGTCGGGTCTGCAGATGGCGGCCAACTACTCCGAGTACTCGTCAGCCCTGGGCTTCACCGCCGGACACCACCCGAACCACCATTTGCTGGCTTCGGCGCAACACCCGCTGCTGCAGCCAGACTCGTACAAAATCCTGCCGCAGCCGCAGAACCACGCCTTCCACCACAGCCTCAGTTCCTTGCACCAGATCACCTCGCCGCCGCCCCCGGCCGCCCCCGCCCCGGCCGCCTCCACGCAGAGTCCGAGGGCCCAGCGCAGGTACACCGGCCGCGCCACCTGTGACTGCCCTAATTGCCAGGAAGCTGAGCGGTTAGGCCCGGCGGGCGTCCACCTACGCAAGAAGAACATCCACAGCTGCCACATCCCTGGGTGCGGAAAGGTGTACGGAAAGACGTCGCACCTCAAGGCGCACCTACGGTGAGCATAGTCACTTCTTTCAAGAGGTGTTTCTCAAGCAAAAGTCCCGTTTTTCTTAAATTCTTAGCAATTTCATGAAAAATCAGATTCTTTAATTAATGAGTAAATGTAAAATTAAAATTTTAACTGAAAAGAAAACGGCACTGAATTATCTGAGAATTCCTTAAAAGGTAAACATGGGTTAAACGTTGCCAAATTTAAAAATGCAGCTGTCATAAGAAACAGTAACGTAAACTGATAAATTCTTCTCTGAATGATCAAATAAATTTTTCAAAAGTTAAAAGTGACATAATTTTTGTATTTCCCTTCCCATTATCAGAAGCTTTTTTGAATAATATTTTTAAGAAATAATTGCCACGGTTGCATAATCCAACTATAAGAAGCTACGTCAAAGTTTGCTATTTATTAAAAAATATTAAGAAATTTTTATGGTCGTATTTGATTTGAATAAGTTAATGGCAAACATTCAAATATTTTTGGTAATTGCTTCTGTTTTTGTCCGAAAATCTGATTTAAGTGAATTCCTTTAAAAATAATTAATTATCAATCAAATAAAAAAATGATTTGAATCTCGAAAGCTTATTTTCTTCAGGGGAAGTGTGACAAAATTTCATTTTCTTTTATAAATAGAATTTCTTGTTCAATTGTCATCTTGGAGCGTTTCCAAAACACGCTGCTAGGCTTATTATTAATCAAACATACCTAAACACACCGAAGGCGGAAGCTCACTGTGAGATTTTCTCAATAGCTTATTTATAAATAAAAAATTCAAATTTAAGATTCGTCAAAATTTATATCAAATCACGGGATTGTTTATTATTTTATCTCTCTTCAAAGAAACGCATTTGAATAATATAATGAGACACATTAAAATGATAATAAATGAACTTCAGTGCTGGGATATTTTTTTACACCTTCCCAATAGTAATTTTGCCAGATTGAATGTAATATGAACTTGATGAACATTTGAATAATCCCAATAAATATGTATAGCATTGCCGTCCTTTCTCTCTCTTTTGTAATGCGCTGACAAATATTTTGCTCTCTTTCGCAGATGGCATAAATAATGTGTTCTCTGTGACCTCTGATGTACTTGCAAGCAACATCAGGGGTCATTCAGCTAGTCATTAGCTGTTCAGTCAGTCTGACTCGGCTTACTTGTCCTTGAGGCTGGGGAATCTCTTGGTCTTGGCCCCCCAGAAGACTCCTTATCTGAGAGGCCATTCTCCTAGGGCTCACTGCTTCAGGGGCAAGTACCGGTTAGTTTCAGACTGAATACTCAGAATTTTACCAAAAACCCTGCACTTTTCCCCTCTCTCACTTTTTGAATGTTCCCGCATTTATTGATTTTGTGTTTTGATCTGCAGGTGGCACACCGGCGAGCGGCCCTTTGTGTGCAACTGGCTGTTCTGCGGGAAACGCTTCACGCGCAGCGACGAGTTGCAGCGTCACTTGCGCACGCACACCGGCGAAAAGCGGTTCGCGTGTCCCGTGTGCAACAAGCGGTTCATGCGCAGCGACCACCTCGCCAAACACGTCAAGACGCACTCGGGCAACGGCGACGGCGACACCAAGTCACGCTCCAGCGAGAGCTGCTCCGAGAGCGACGACAACTGCAGCCCCTCGCACGGGGTCGTCTGATGGACACTTGGCCGTGCACCCGAGCTCAAAGTTGCGTAACTTCGTTTCGATCAACGTCAAGGAGCAGATTTTCCATAACAAAATTTTTTTCAGTGTAAAATGTTTTATTTTAAAGAGGTATTTAGATAAATTTGTTTATTCTTGAATTGAAAGAAGTAAAAATATGACAAATATCAAAATCACTTAATTAGCGAAAAGAAATATAAAATCCCCATCAAAGTTCAAATGTTTTTTGGCGCCAAAACGTAATACCCAGTTAGAAGTGGTTTAGGGTGAGAATTTTCCAATTGTGATTTCAATGTTGGTTATAAAATTTGATCTTCTTTCACATTCAAGAATAAATGTTTTTTCCAAAGTTCCTCTTTAAAATCGAGTTTTTGTAAAAATAAAACATATCCGAGCTGCCCTTGGGACGAAAAAGTGCTCGCCCAGTTGACCCAGACTTATCTGAAGTGGACTCTGATGAAAAATACATAAAATTAAAAAAAGTTGTTAATTATATATACCCCGCGCCGGGAACAATCTCATGAACGTTTTAATAAACTGTGTTGTGCTGCAAGTATAGTCAAGTGTGATATTAGTACGCGACGCGAGGCGGCGAATGTGTCATCCTACCTGCGAAAGAAAATATCATCTCTCAGATCACAACTGTATAAAATAATATCTCTCGACCATTTTACATACAAGAAAGAAAGAGCGTTTGTGTCGCGCGACAAAAACTGCTGCTGCCGCACACTGAGGACTTTGAATGAATAATTTGTACATAATATTCTCTGTACTTATATTATCGAATCAAAGTTGAACTATGATCAGAATAAAATTAAAATGAAAATCAACATGATCTGTATTTATAGCTTTTGTTTTACAATTACAACCCAATCTCCAATTGTTTTAATTTTTTTGTAAAATTTTATTGAAGAAAATTATGAATTTGAGAGAAAGTTAAAGGTGCATTCAAAAATTTTAATAAAACCTTAATCTTGAATAAAATATGTAAATAAAGAAAGGATTTGTTGATAACATTTTTTATTTCTATTATTAATATTAAAAATTTATCTTCTAATAAATTATATTAAAATCTTTAGGCTGAATGGTTAATTTATTTAAACTTTTAAATAAGAATCTCGATTGTTGTTTAATTATTTTATTTTTCATACCCAGGCTATTTCCCAAAACTTTAATTTTTTTCTCTTTCAACTGACAATTTTCACATGATATTTGTATTCAATAAAATTTGCAACTGAAAAGCACTCATTAATAATGAAACTGCAGCGCCCGCGGCTCATCATTACATATCAGTGGAATTACTGCGTTAGTTCCGCCTCGCTTCGGCAGCAATATACTTTCCGAATTCAAATCGGCGGCGTGTGAATCTCAAAAATTGAATATGCGTAATTAGGTTTGAATGCCACGCTCGGCGCATCATATGCCGCCCGTAATAGTCAATTCACCCCGCGCTGTGTAATCACCACCACAAGAAGATGCTCCCCCGAAAAGGGTGAGGGTCCACAAGGGGTGGCAGCGTCAGAGCTTCCTCCACTACTGGCCACTTCCGATTTTTTGAATCCACCAGTTTCTTGAAATTTGTAAATAACTGTTTAAAAGTTTAGAAACTAATATAAATAAAAGGATAAGTATTAAACATGAATAAGGAGGATTTGGTAATCATTATAAAAGATAAATAATTATATTAGCCTTTTCAAATCTACCAAGTTATCTAAATTTTAAAGTTGAAACATGACAATTCTATTTAGACTTACTTTTAACTGAAAATAAATAGTAATCAAGGCCCAATTCATTGAATTTACAATCTCTACTTTTGATAAAAAAAAATAAAAAAATGTCAATGTCACCGTTTGCATGGTTTCACTAAAAGTCAAGCACATTTCAAAGATTTTTAAAATTATACCAAAATAAATCAAAAAGGTGAATTCAATTATAAATGCCACCTTTTTATTGAATTTAAATTTAAAAAAACTGAAATTTCAGTTCCTCCCGTTTTGTTATAAATATATCTTCACTTTTAACACCAAATTTTTAAAATTATTATCTTCAAATGCGATCAGATTTTGGCAAAAAAATCCTTATTAAAATTTGACATTAAAAATTATTTTGGCCAAAGCCCAAGTCGAAGAAGGCCCTGTTGTGGATTTGCGCTGGATGAGAGTGTCTGTCTGTATGTATGTGATGCAGCGACGGAGGCAGTTCTTTAATCTAGCAGTGCGGTGGTGATAATGCAATTAGGGAGGACAACACACCATTCACAATTCAAAAGAGCAAACGGCTCTTGATTAATATCCCTCTCATTAGCAGTCTGTCTCCGCTTTCAAAGCTTTATTTCCAACTTGCATTTCATGCAGATTACTTCCTACCCTAGCTCCGCGTCTGCTTTTGAGATGCATAAAATTACACAGCGCGCGCACGAGTTGTGTGTGTGTGATGCATTTATTTTCACTCTCGTTCTCGAATTCGGCGCAATTTGTCATCTCTTTCATCCTGGCACATGCAGCACTCGTAACGACCAGAGTCAAGTGTGCACGGCGAGTTCAAAGAAAAGACAGAGAGGACGAGGACATCCTCATTGCCTGCTTCAACTGTTTCAACGTTAAATTTTGCAACAGTGAAGAAAGGAGGTGAAATAAATATAAAGTTCATGCCAAGACTTTGCAACATGTTTTAAAAATTTGTGCCTTGCAATTTTTGTTATTTTTATTACACAAGGAATTTGTCAAACTTTATTCAATATGAAGTTTTCCCTCCGGAAAAAAAAAACAAATTTACAGGTTTCTTGGTGCAAATGTCTCTTTTAAAATGCAAGTTTTCTGGCTCAAATTTGAGTGGAAAAGGAAATTTTTGATAATATTTCTATATATTTGTTATATTATCATTATTCTTTAAACCAAGCTGAAACCAAGGTAACCGAAGCTCACTGTAGCGGAGGAGATCTTTTTGATCTCTGAAGGTTTTTTCCAACAATAACTTTTTTTTAAATTTTTTTCAATAATTGCTGTTAACAATGTGATGTAACAATTTGAACAAATTAATAATAATAATAAATTTATTCAAATCTTCATAAAAAATTCTGATGCTTTTCGAACTGGCGGTACTTTAATTAAATAGCAGGTTTGAAAATGAACTATTAAGTAATTAAAAGTCTATTTTATTCGTTTAAAAATGGTTAATATTTATATTTTATTAAATTATTAATTAATGTGAAAAGTTTAAAAAAAAATGACATTACAAGACCTTGCAAATTGGAAATTGATTTATCTCTAACAAAATATTGCCATAGATCCATCAATCCTGTAAGATTGATAAAAAAACTTTTTAAGAAGCAAAGAAAAACATGTGCGCCTTTTATTGTGTGGATCCCTTGCAATTCTTAAAAACCATTGAAATAAATGCAAGTTCATTAAGCAGGCAGTTGTCCCCTCATTAATCAAGCTCTAGTTGCACTGTCAGATTTGTCGATTTGATTAAAACGCGATAAACACCCTCAGTTTTCAGTGGCAAACGCGCAGAGCTATTTGAGAGCAATTAATCACCGACTGCATGAAAACCAACACAATAAAAATTGATTTGGTCTCTTTCTGTCAGCATAATTACCCTCGCGTACGAACTAATTTGCTTGTTTCCCCCCGAAATTAATGATGATAAAAACGCATTTCAGGAAAAAGCGCGAGCGCCCTGCAATTAAAAACAACTTTTTCAACCGGAATCATTGCGCGTTGTTCAGAGTGCACAGAGCGAGATAAAGTCTGAATCGCGATAAACACACTGAAAAATTGCTCATGTACAATTCGTGAGCACAGCATGTGTATAATTATGTGGCGCGCTATGACAACTTTGTCACCATCCGCAGAGTGAATGAAATTGTTGAAATTAAAAACTTTATTATGAGGCCTAATTATAATTTACAAATACACGTTCTTTGCCACGATCTTCGTTTTTTCTTTTTAAATCGTTCAATTTAAAATTAAGTTACTTGTATTTTTATGTTTAATTTTTTGTTTCAAATTTTTACACTAAGAAATGAAAAGGAAATTAAATGTTAATATTTTTTTATCCAAAAAGATTATTTCATGGTTTTTTGAATCAACAAGCTGTAATTAACTTTTGATAACAATAATATTTTTAACATATTTTAGCCAATTTTTAATTTCTTTTATAATAATAAGTACAAGATTATTTATCAGTTCCAAAGTTTGATACAAATTTACAATAAGATGTTTAATATCACAAAAAATATGCCCTTTAAATTTCAATTTAAAACGCAATAACTTTATTTTCTTGCGGAAAAAAACAATAATAAAATAATATATAAGGTCAAATGAAAATTATTGACCACCTCTGAATTAAATTCCAAAAAAATAATAATAGTAAGAAACTTAACTTTTTTTATTTTTGATTGCATATTTAATTTATATCTGTTAAAATTTGTATTTGTCTGCCACAAAATGTTCATTCCATACATGCATTATCAGTTTTAATTTTATTTCTGTTGTTTTTCAACAGCAGAGGACTATTGACAGAAAAATTATTCAACTAAGCAAAATATTTGGTGAATTTTTAGATTAACTTTTTCTGAAATAATTTTTGCATATTTTAACCAACATTTTCCACTTTGCTTCCGCGTTTCTTTGAAATGTTTTGTGTACACTTAACATTTATTTTCACTTGGGTGATCCCTCGGCTGATGCTCTCGATTTTCTCTCTAATGTGTGAATCCCCCTCGCAAACAATTTGTCTCTTTCACGTCAACATTAAGTGTTCTCTTTATTTATTGCCCCTCTCGCTTTACGCAACGCCATATAAGAAGGGGAGGGCAAAGGACAATGAATTCCAAAAGCTACTCTGACCTCAAGACCCCGCAAAAAGCCTCTTTTGTGTATAAGCTGAAATAATCCACTTTCGGCTTCGTGTTTTTTTTTATTAAGAAAAAAGAGGGAAAAAAGCATGAGTATATAAGAAATTTAGATAATCTACACTAATCCCGGTAAAAAAATTACAAAAGTTGATGAAAAGCGACGATTGCGATTGTAATTGTGGAATGGAATCGAGGCTGAGAGCGTTCTCGGGAAATTGTATAAATTATTTATGCTCGGCAAAGCAGAGTGATTATCGCGAGCAATTACTGCATTCGTATTTCCGAAAGGTAGGTTCGCTCTCGTGGGTACATTTATTCTCACCAAGTGGCGGCTCCTTTGTATCGCTACCGCTCGGTTAGTTAGTTTTGTCCGTGCGTGCAACCCGTTCCTGCCAATGAGGCCGCGCACCGCCTCCCGCGAACGCCGCGGCCACGCCTACACTTAGCAGGGCCCTCGGACCCCAAAAAGGGCCCCTCGGATACAATTTCAACGCAGGTAAATTCCTGTTGATTTCCACTCAAAATATATAAACATAATCAACTGGACATTGAAGAATTTTGCAAAAAAAATTATATTAATTTAGTTTGAACTTGACAATACAAAATGTTGACGACCTAATTATTTTTCATAATAATTAAAAGTATCTAATTTAATACATGATTAGTTTTAAAATTCGTTTCAAATAATCAGAATGGAATTATTTTTATATTAAATTTGAATTGCAAAAATTGCACTTGCAAAACTTGACAAAAATATCTGCAAAAATCACTGACCCTTATTCGGAATATATTTAACTATAAATATGAGAATATAATTTATTTGTAATTTTCTAGGAATTTTTTTTCTAACTAAAAATATGCAACCCGCCTGTCCTGTGTGACAAAACGGTTGCAACCCCTGCATTAAAGGGGAAAATGGGAATTTAAAGTTCAAATTCTGAACAGTTGAAATTTGTATATTTTA